GTAGGTGCTCGCCGTCAGCTGATGTCCAGCGTGACGTCACTTACACGTAATGGTTACGTCACGAGTCGGAGTGATGGATGACGTGACTAAATTTTTTTTTTTTTTTTACGTTTTTTTTTTTCTTTCTATATCTCTCGTATCTAATCTACTTTTTTCTTGACAGTGTCTTAGATTTTTTTTATTTCTTCTTCACGGCTTATGTCAGAACACGTAGATTGGATGTTGACTGGGAATGGTGAAGGATTTACTTTGAAGTTTTTTTCCCCTTTTTCGTTTTATGTTTTAATGTTTGTTGGCTGGGTTTTCTTAACAAACCGTTCACCGGAAGTAATCAGCTGTTGATCACCACAAAGCTCGATTTTCTTTCCTTTAAAGCACAATACTGTAGATTCTTAGATGTTACAATACTTCAGATGAGGTTTAGGATATGCTACCTCAGCACCACTTTCTTGATAACTGCACTATACACTGTATTTCGTACTCTAGAAGCACCATACCTAATGCTGAAGCACTTTGTTTATTAAGGAATCACTGTATTTATGACCAGGTTGCCTAATTATCTCTTAAAAGCACGCTTTATGGCTAGTCTCGAAGCACTATGATCTGGATATGCAACTGCAGCATTTTGCATAACCTCCTGAAGCACCGCACTTGCAAATGGCGCGCTTTGCAGCATTAAAAAGATAACATTCTTCCTCGCATAAAGCCTTTGGCATTTCCTCAACTCCAGCATGATTCTCAGATGTAGGATTCTTTGTCTTTTTTTTTTACGGTCTCGCTCGCCGACGGCCTCAGCGATGGCGGCCGGCGGCGGGGGGGGAGGGGGGGTACGCCGACGGGCTTCCCCCTCGTGACTCCCGGGGCCTTGCACGGGGGGGGGGGGGGGGGCGGGGGGCGTGGCCGGAGGAAAGGGGAGCACAAAGCATACGCACATAGACTCCTGTGAGTACGTATTCTGTACTCACACACTCATACGGACACATGCGCGCAAAATAAATCCATACACTATACTAAACGCAATGACACACGCACACGGACACGCACACGCGCGCGCGCGCGCACACACACACACACACACACACACACACACACACACACACACACACACACACACACACACACACAACACACACACACACACACACAACGACCCAAACTCAGCGAGTACCCCCCCCCCCTCCCCCAAGATCAGCCGCAGGTGAGTCGTACAACCGCCATTGAAACGGACATTTCGCCATGTACTGTGACGCCGCCGCTGCCTGTCATGCACCCGTGTCATGAGGTGTCATGAACTCCGGTGTCATGAACCCTCGTGTCATGAACCTCTGTCATGAACCATTCATGACTTCCCGTGTCATGAACCTCCCGATTCATGAACTCCTGTCATGACCCCCGTATCATGAACCACCCGGTGTCATGACCCCCCGTGTCATGAACTTGTCACGAACCCCCCGATGGACTGTGCCACGGAAACCCCCCTTTTTTTTGCGAGGAATTGTCATCATGGGGGGACTAATTTGCGTATGAGGAGAGTCTGCAAGAGTCTGCAATATGTCGAGAGGAAGTCGAGATGTGGGCGGCATCTTGGCTTGCTGGTGTGGGCGGCGGGCGGAGGGGAGGGGAGAGGGGAGGGAGGGTTTTTTGGGTGTGAGAGAGAGAGGGAGGGAGAAAGGGGAGGGAGGAGAGGGAGAAGGAGGAGTGAGTGAGTGAAGTGAGCGAATGAGAATGAAAGAAGAGAGAGAGAGAGAGAGAGAGAGAGAGAGAGAGAGAGAGAGAGAGAGAGAGAGAGAGGAGAGAGAGAGAGAGAGATGAGAGAGGGAGTGAGAGTGAGAGTGAGAGAGAACCGACGGAAGTTAAAAGCGATAGAAAGAGAGAGAGAGAGAGCCCAAGAAAGAAAGAAAAAAACGGAAAACAAACTTTAAACAAACAACGACATTCCCCTCTCCCCTCACCCTCCCTTCCCCCACCCCCCAGCCAAGATGAGCACCTCCCCTCCCCTCCCCTCCCCTCCTCTCCCCTCTCTCCTCTCCTCTCCTCCTCTCCTCTCCTCTCCTCCTCCTCTCCTCTCCTCTCCTCTCCTCTCCTCTCCTCTCCTCTCTCTCCTCTCCTCTCCTCCTCTCCTCTCTTCTCTCTCTCCTCTCCCTCTCGCTCTCTCTCTCTCCCTCCTCTCTCTCCTCTCCTCTCCTCTCCTCTCCTCTCTCTCTCGCGTGGAAACATTCTCTCTCTGCTTCTCTCTCTCTCTCTCTCTCTCTCTCTCTCTCTCTCTCTCTCTCTCTCTCTCTTCTCTCTCTCTCTCTCTCTCTCTCATCCCTCCCCTCCTCCCTCCTCCCTCCCTCCTTCCCCCCTTCCCCTCCCCTCCCCTCCCTCCCCCTTCCTCTCTCCTCCCCTATCCCTACCCCTACCCCTACCCCCCCTTCTCGAAACTCTTCCCCGAGGAGATGTAACCTTATCATCTGTCCTTTCTGCGAGGTAGTCATTTCTAGAAGCGATCCAGAGTGCTTTCTAGGTTACGGGGGAAGAAGAGGTCAGAGGATTAGCTTGAATACCAGAGGTCGCGCGAGGTCGTATTTTCCCGCGCGCGTGGCGGACGGGGTTCTTCCCCTCCGTCCGTTTCGTCGGCGGCGGCGTTGGCTTCGTCTTCGTTCGCTGGTTGGGTATTTCTCGTCGTTTTTATTTTGTTATTACTCGTTATCTTTGTCTGATTTTTTTTTTGTGTTTTTTCTTCTTCGTCGATTCTTCGTCTTGTTCTTTGTCTTGCTATTCGTCGTTTCTTCGTCTTTTTTTTCTCTTCGTTCGTTTCTTCGTACTTCCCTTGGTCGTTAATTCCTCTTCCTCTTCAATGTGTTTATTCCTTATCCTTTTATCCTCTAGTTCGTCGTCTCCTCGCGATTAAGATGATGATGAAGAAGAAGAAAATAATGATGATGAAGAAAATAATGATAATGATGATGATGAAGAAAATGATAATGAATGATGATTGAAATGATGAGATGATGATGATGAAGAAAATGATAATGATGATGTATAATAATAATGATGATGATGAAGCGACGGTGGTAATGGAATTTATAGATAATGGTCGGCGTGATGATGACGATGATGATTATGATGACGATGGTGATGATAATGATGGTGACGATGATGATGATGATAATGATATAAATTATGGTGGTCATAAGAGTAATACTGTATTGATATTAGTAATACTATAATGAATTTTATTATGTTTACGTCTTGCGTTTGTGACTATTGTTTTTTTTTATTGTTATCATCAGAATCGTTGTTATTAATTATTATTATTACTGATATCGTCATATCATCAAACTGTTATTATTGTTGCAGTTATTATGATTAATTTTTTAAATTATTATCGTTACATTTTTATTAGTATTGATTAGTTATTATTGTCATTTTTGGTTATTATTATTTCATTTATCATCGGTCTTTTTTTCGTCTCTATCCTTCACTTTCCTTTCTTTTTCTTTCTTTTTTTCTTTCTTTCTTTCTTTCTTCTTTCTTTCTTTTCCTCGTTTCGTAATTGTTAATTCCCTTCTTTCTTTATGTATTCTGATTCCTGTTTCTTTTTTTCTCTTTTTTCTTCTCTTTCAGTCTCCTTTTGCTCTTCTCACTTCGCTCACGTCTTCCTCTTTCTTCCCTTGTTTACTCCTTCCTGTCTTCGCCACTTCCATCCTTTTTCTCCTCTTTCCATTTCCTTTCTCTCCTCTCTTCTCTCTTTCTCTCCTTCTTTCCTCCTTTCTCTTTCTCTTTCTCTTCTCTCCTCTTTCTCTCTTTCTCTCTTCTCTCTCTTCTCTCAGGATACTCTCTCTCTCTCGATCTCTCTCTCTCCTTCTCTCCGTTCCGTTCCGTTCCTCATATTCTCTGTTTTCCTTCTTTCCATTTTTCCAATTTCCCTTTCACTCTCTCTTTCCTTCCCTTTCTCCCCGTCTTCGTAACCTCTCCCTTCCTCCTCTCATGACGCTTCTTCTCTCCCTCTCCCTCCGTATTCCCATTTTCCCACAATCTTCTCTCTTTCCTCTCTTCTCACTTCCCTCTTCCTCTCTCCCTCCTCTCTCCATCTCCACACTTCTCCTCTCCTCTCCTTCCCTTCCTGCTTCCAGTCTGTCCACCCCTCCCCACCCTCTTCTAATCCTTCTCTACCCTCTCCCTCTCTCCTCTTCCTTTCTCCCCTCTCCCCTCTCCCTCCTCTCCCTCGTCTCCTCTTCCACCCTCCCCGCTCTCCTCTTTTCTCCCCTCTCTCCCTCTTCTCCCCCCATCTCTACTCTTCCCCCTCTCCCCTCATCTCTCTCTCCTCCCCCCCATCTCCTTCCCTCCCCAATCTCTTCCTCCCAAACCCTCTCTCTATTCTTCCCACTCTCTCTCCTTAATCTTCCTCCCCCATCCTCTTCTCTCACTCCCACCTCCCTCCTTCCCTCCCCTGCCCCTCCTCTCTCCCCCCCACTCCCCCCCATCCCCCATCCATTCTTCCCATCCCTCCTTCCCTCTCCCCCTCCCACCCTGCGATCCATCATGATCAGCGTCCTTAATGTGTCATATGAATCGAAGTCGATCTGTGACAGACTCGCTCACCGTTTCGGACGCGGGTTTCAAGATGGCGGCGTTCTGTTCTTTTTTACGATTTATTTTTAAAGATTTCTGATTATTTATCTGTTATTATTATGTTTTGGCTTTATTTTTATTTTATTTATTTCGTTTTATTTGTTTGTTTTGATTGCTTTTATTTTTTTTAATTCGTTCATTCATTATTTTTTTGTATTTTGTTTTTTATCTTAACTTTTTTCTTATTGTTGATGATTAATATTTTGTTATTTTCTATTATTACTGTTATTAGTTATATTATTGTTGTTTTTTAACATTTACTTCACACATGATAATGATGAACCTGGAAGGGAAGTAGGAAAGAGAGAAATAAAGAGAAAAGAGGCTTACAAGAGAGAGAGAGAGAGAGAGAGAGAGAGAGAGAGAGAGAGAGAGAGAGAGAG